TTTTTTTTTTTTTTTTAGTCAGTTTATTGAACATGTCAGAAACAAAACATACAACAATAATAATAATATATATATATATATATCATTTTCTTTCTTGTTTTTTCTCACTCATAATAATAATTATAACAAAGTACAAAAAAATAATAATACAAAAAAAAATAAAAGGTAATAATAATTCTCAAATAGTCTGTCATGTTCAACAGGGGCAAGAAGAAGCTTAAAAAAAACTTTTCTGGTCCTACCCCCTCTAGCATACATTTTCCTTATAATAAAATATTAGGTCATTGTCATCAGCGATATGTTTGTCTTGTTAATTTGTTTGTTTTTTTACAAAACAATCTGAAAGAAATTACTTTTACAATTACAAGAAATAACAAATTGGATTTTACAGGTCCTGTTCATAACCATTAATGATTTGGCTTTCAGTTTAGATAGACTTGTACAATATTTCAGTGCATCAGTACAGTTATTCCACAGACTAACACCTTTTGATGAGATTCAATGAAGTTTGGCATTTGTTCGTACGGGTGGTCTTTTGAAAATGCAGTTTCCTCTCAACATGTGCATGCTTTCTCTCCGTGTGAAAAGTCCCTGGATATTATGAGGTAATTGTTGATTTGCGGCTTTGAACATAATTTGAATAGTTTTATAGTCAACCAGGTCTTGTAGTTTTAGTGTTTTTAGTTTGATAAATAATTTATTTGTTGGTTCTCTGTACGTAGTTTTATGTATAACTCGTATGGCTCTTTTTTGCAGGATGAAGATAGGATGTGTATTTGTTTTATATGTGTTCCCCCAAACTTCCACACAATACATCATGTATGGAAGTATGAAGGAGCAGTACAGCATAAACAAGGAAGCTTGATTAATTAGGTCTTTGGCTTTATTCAGAATTGCTATTGATTTTGGATATTTTGGCTTTGATATAGCTTATATGTGGTTTCCAACTTAATTTATTGTCTATGATTACTCAAAGGAATTTTATTTCCGATACTCTTTCTAATTGGACGCCATTTATAGTGAGTTTCTTCTCTGTATTGGTCGATCGATTCCCAAATATTATAAGTTTGGTTTTGCTTGCGTTCAATGTTAATTTATTTTGGTCAAACCAGATCTTCATCCTGCTCAGTTCCTTTTCCATTGTGACCAATAGCTGTTCTAAATTGTCCCCACAGCAGAGTAGACTTGTGTCGTCTGCAAAAATAATGGTTTTAATAGTTTTTGATACTTTACATATATTGTTAATATACAGAATAAATAGTAATGGCCCCAAGACTGAGCCCTGAGGCACCCCACATGTAACCTGCAGTAGTTGTGATGTATGGCTTTGTAGTTCAACGTACTGTTCCCTGTTATGTAGGTAGCTGGATAGCCATGATAGTGCAACACCTCTAATGCCATATCTCTGTAGTTTTTTTATTAATAATTCATGGTCAACCGTGTCAAATGCTTGGATTACATGTTCCCCTACACAGGGTCAGAAACATCTACAACTCTTGGGCTTATTTAAAACTCTCGGGAGATGAACTCAATAGTAATATGGGTCATGTTTAGAACAAGACATTTTCTCTTACAGAGCTTTTATATCGCCAGCAGCTCCATCGACAGATCACCAGAAGTCCATTCTGCCGAACAACCTGGCAAACACTCAGCAGGAAGTGACCATCACCTGCCAGCTCTCCCTGCCCACTTTATTTCCTTCAGACATCTGTGAATAAATATTATGCCTTGAGAAATACACAACGATCAGCTCATGTCTGCCTTCCAGGGTTTCCCTACGCTTTGTTGCATTTCACTTACTAAAATTAGTTCAGGAATGACCAGTGACGTTAAGAAATGTGGATTGGGTTAATTAAGTCCCAGCTATGAATGCTAACCATACATGCTCATAAAATGACCACGTAGGTATTTTATCAGCTAGAACAAGTCAATTCCACGGATGCCAAATAATCTTAAATCTCTAGTTTAAAAGCAAGCAATTGATCTTGAATTACATTTGCATTTATCTTGTTGTCAGCTTTCCAGCTTACTTCCAGCTTAAATGTACTGACAAATTGCAACGGTTTCTCTATTGAAATAAAATAAGAAGGCTAACTCTATGTTCCTTTCACTCACTGGTTATACTGTGTGAGAGAATGAAAAATTCAGTTCAATAAGATAACTCTAAACCAACATTATAAAGCTGTGTTCAGACTGGGGATGTCACAATAACAGAACTATACATTGCATTTAAATTAGCTGTCAAATGTACACACAATAAGTAAAATCTAATTAGTAGTTTACACAAACTCTCATTTGATAGCTTAAAATGTTTAATTTAAAAGTAGAATTCCATGTCATTCAACATACACTCTCTTTTATTATTGTTTGCATTCTGGTAATTGTGAGAATAATAAACAGGTCATAATTCTCTCTCTGATATCTATTTTATATTTGGGTGAAAACATCTCTTTCAAACTGTATTTATTATTTTTTCATTGGATAAAAGTGTCAGCACGATAACATATAATGTAATCTAATGTACCATAAATGATTGCATAGTGTGAATCAAACCCCCTTAACCCTAACCCTAACCCTAACCCTAATTAACCTATTTGTATTGGCTGCTTACATCTAAAGTTAATTAGCTCTCCTGTCGATTTCAAATCGGATTTGTTATTCGAATGTAGAATTAGCAGAAACAATTGGGTGTGGAAGAGTTGAAAGTGAGTCTACTGTGGCCCTTTTTCCATTGGGTGATATGACGCTGGTTGGTCTGGAGTCCTGACAAATCTAAGGGGACTTGTGAAAAACAAGAATGGTCATGTTTTTAAAAGATATTTAGCTTTGACTTTATATCATAGTATTAGTTATCCCTATTTAAGATAGACAGACCGTACTGTTAGCAATGTGGGGGAACCAATGCAGAAAGTTCCAGTGAAAACCCAAGCTAACGCTTTTTAACACACCATAGTTTCTGTCCAAAACAAAACATTAGAAATCATAAAATAGCCTCAAACAGTTCTCCTGTTTTGTTGTGGTTTTCATTTAAATATCTGTCGTGACATTATATTGTGAATGGACCCTGCAAAAGGCACAGTGATAAAATACTGACTGTGAATAATGTGGGGAATACTCACCGAAAAGGCATATAATGTTATAAACGGGGGCCATATTGTGGGATTCCTCAGAGAAGCAGATGTGCTCCAGCTGACTTACTCTGTAATCCCACCTCACTCTACTCTGATCCAATAACACACACACACACACACACACACACACACACACACACACACACACACACACACACACACACACACACACACACACGCACACACACACACACACACACACACACACACGCACACACACACTCCAACACACATTAAGTGCAGACATAAACAAGCTTTATCCTTTGATCATTGTGCGGCAGGAAAAAAGACATTACTGGCTGCAGAGGTCACTGCGAGCATAAACGCGCGGAAACTCGCATTTTGACGTGCAAATAAGCCAGTGGGGACAGGGATGCTCCCATAACATCAAAGAGGAAAAGAGACGTCTTGTTAAAAAAAGGCTCCAATTCAGAAAACACCAACAAAATAACCAGGCTTTATACAAAGCGATGAAAGAGGGACGATCACCAAGCTGAGCCGTTATAAAGAAGGGCTCCTGATCAACCCATCAAGCATCCATCCCCACTAATTTGAGACAAGGTGGGAGGCAATATTTCAGTGTAAGCTAACCGCTAACCACCTGCCTTCTCAGTATGATGCTAGTTGGAAGGCTTCGATAGAAAACATCCATGATTTGCATGTTTACAGGAGAAAAGAGGTTGGCATCTGTGAAGCTGAAAGTATATTTGCGAAACTTGCAAATTAGAGTACACTTTTTTATAACAACTTCAATGTCAGTCAACATCACGGGTTGCTTCGATAACCTCATGATGCTTTATCGATATTATTGGTATAGTTTAACCAATATTCAAATGTTTCTGAGAAGTTACAGATTTTCTGTTTGGTCTATCATCTACCATGGAATACTACAGTACTCAAGATTCTAAGTAGCCAAAGTTAAAATGTTATTGCTACAACATCTGGAGGATTAGCAGATTCAGATTGGTTTGTTGGAACAACTGGTTACAAACCACCATGTAGCTTGTAAAAAGAGCTAGCTTGCTGCGCTTACTTAACGCCTACCTTAGGTTTTTTATCCATCCTGTTTGGATTTACCTTTCATATACTGAAAACTTTCCTACAGCTTGTCCACTTACACTATCTTTTCACAAGTTACTTTAAAAACCCCTAGGTATAATCCCTCCTACTGTCAAAAACGGTCTAGTCCTAACAGGCTATTATTGTAATCTGATGCAAAGGGGTGGAAAACTGTACTTGTCCGGTAGGCGACCAATTAAGCCAACAGCCAGCAAACTAGCTTAAAGAGCGATTGTGAGTAGGGTTAGGGTTAAGTCTCCACCCCTATGTGGAAAAACCAAGCTTTTGTTTAGCCTTATGTGATACGTCACACTTGCCACTTTTTATACAAGCTAACCTAAAACTACTATATTAACTGAATGTTTGCCTTAATCCAAATGTTAACCCTACAGAAGATCTGATGCATAAATGTTACTTTTTTCTTCTTTTGTTGTGATCATTGCGTAGGAACAAACTAGGGCAAGAAAGTTGGTAAATATAAATCAAAAAGTGTAGGTGAGGTGCCTTTGCAATGCCATTCAACGACCATACAAATTCCATCATAAAGGCTTAACTCACGCTTGCATAAGAAAGCATCAGAACAACAGTTTGTCTTTTATACTGTTGACTCATCGAAGGTGTAAAATAGCTTTCACAACAAAACATGAATGTGAGGCAAAAAAAAACAGACTGCCAGCTCCTGATTGTAGGCTGTTTTTGGACCACTCAGGCAGAAGTAAGTAAAAGTGACGCAAAAGCATCTATTTCATTTCTTTTTAAAGTCCAAATAAACAAAAAAAAATTGGTTGAAATATATCTGTTGCCACTCACCGGACATCATTTTGTTGCGGAGGTTTCTTCTGCCCAACCAGGTTCACCGTTCTTGCTTGGATAGGCTTCTCTTCTCTGAAACACAGGAAATGAGGAAGACATTACTTGTTATGAATTGTGTCATAATTCGGTTATAAAAGCATAGCAGCCTAGTACAGATCGTTTTCTGAGTTCCAACCAAACCAACCAACCCAAAAAAATTAAAAAATCACATTGCCGCGCTAAAGGCGTCATTGGCCAGCTTTTGACAACAATGACACGCTTTCAATATGTCCGCTCACACATTCACGATGTGATTCCAAACCATCTCATCCATAAACATGAACAGTGTTCTCTGATCCGTCAGATCACAGAGGAAACACCCACGCTTTCTAAAGCATACATGTCTTTTCATCGTCAACACTGTGGGTGCCCCTCTGATTGTGAGACACTTGATGCGCAACAGGACCGGTGATATCTCTTTGCTTCTTAAGGATTCTCACCACCCGCTGCATTGTTATGCTATTTTTAAAATAAGTAGTGATTGAGGTAGATGGGACGTCCTCGGATTACTCTGGGAAAGTACACTGCCTATTTCCAAATTGCATACTTATATTGTGATTCATGTATGTGTTCCAACATTTAAAGGTGGGGTAGGTAAGTTTGAGAAACCGGCTCGAGATCGCTAGAATTTGAAAATACACAACCGGAGAAAATCTGCCACTTCCTTATAGAGCCCCTCCTCCAACACACACGAACGTGCACATGACCAATGAGGGCACGAGATAAGTCTGTGCACAGATGGAAGGCTGACAGGCAGGTAGGCCATCCAGTTATTTTAGCCGGGCCGGCTAAAATGATTGGTCGTACTTTTTACAGTACTACAGCTTCCACAGATGACATTTTTTAATGGATTTTTTGTCAAAGCACTTAAGATATTCATTGCTATCGGGATGTTAAGAGCATTCCATGGAATATAACAAAAAGTGTATCTCGAGCCGGTTTCTCAAACTTACCTACCCCACCTTTAAGGATCCATTGATTTTCATTCACTTTCTTGAATTGAATGAAAATGAATGGAAGCCAATGAAAGACAGAATAAAATATTTCTTAAATACTAAAGCATGGTTGACAAAATGCTTCGCAGTGATTCTAATGACCACAGACGCACCATTTATATTCTTCGGATTGCTAACAGCACCGATACTGGCCTAAAAAAAAACAAGCATGTTTTATGCACTATCTTTAAATACAATTGTGTTTCCGTTATCAGTCCCAGTCATTCATATCAGGTTAGGGTTAGGTTAGGGTAAGGGTCCGCTGTGTATGACCAATTCCTTGGCTTCTGTTACCTTGTATACAAAAATATCCCAATCACACAAAGATGTATTGTACAGATAGCACAGGTATAGGTTTTTCCAGCAGGATTTTGCATACCGTAATGTTGCTTTTTTCTAGAATTTCTGAAACAATACTGATATTGTTGAATCGTTGTTATGCATTGTAGATAGATTAGCTAAAATATCTAAAATATAGGAAATATAGGGAGTATAATTGCACATCTATAGTCAAAAGATGCGAAAAACACCACGCACCTTACATTTTTCATCCACTTAAGCTTTAACAAATGGATATCAATGTGTTTCCTGTGTATTTATCACGGACTGAGACACATTCAGCACATGATATTACCTTCAAAAAGAAGGTGCTGACATTTACTATCACTGTGAAATCTAAATAAATTATACATTTGACTTATTAAGGCTAATGCTGACATGAGGTGATTGTAAGACAATGCCAGAATTCACTTCCATTGAGCTAATAGTTTAATCAGTGAAGTAAGAAGGCGCACCATACCTGCTAAAGTGTCAAGTTGGACTACTTCTGATTTATGGTATTGATAAAAAGCATGTCATATATTACTGTAGGGAGGTCCTTTATTGTACTATATTCAAGTGCTTTCCATTTATCTAACCTGGATTAAGGCTTTTAAAGAAGGATTGTAGAGAAGGCTATCTGTCATTTATCCATATTACTGACAGGACATTATTGTTTACCTCCAATTGATTTACCACTACATCATTGTGGCTATGTCTATCTGCTGTAATCCTATGCTTTAAAAGCAACGCATCTGACGGTAAGTGTATTTAAAAATTCTCATAAGAGTAGTTTATTCCCTGCCTCTCTGCATTACAACCCACACTGCCCTACTGCTAGTACACTCACCATGAATGTATTAGTCAACCAGTGCAAAGCTTTTCAGTGCAGTTCGTAAAGGCACACACACACACACACACACACACACACACATACACACACACACACACACACACACACACACACACACACACACACACACACACACACACACACACACACACACACACACACACACACACACACACACACACACACACACACACACACACACTGCTCTGCTACAGCGATCTCAATCCAAGCAGTGATGAGGGGAAACGATGCTGAAGCAAATATAGGTTAAGACATGTATGTGCTGACAGCCTGCCTTATGTGCAGCCGCTGATATGAGTGAATCCACGACTGCTAATAAACTACTGAAAATGATGCATAGCCACTTAGCCGGAATATATAGCCGGAGCCATGTATTGGACATTTCCTTCTTTAGATGCAATGAATCGATCTTCCGTTCCAGTGCTGGGCTATCAGTCCGCACAGAGGGCTTAAAATAGAACAGGGACGTAAAGCTTGAGGAGCGCCTCGCTGAGGTGGGTCGGTCTATCTTTCTCGTGCAGCTTCATGCAGACCATGCCGAAAACGTGAGAAAAGGCATCGTTTTAACTTGGGGGGGGGGGGGGATTTCTACACCGATTACAGTGACAAATAAATCCAGATGAGAATTTTCACCCTGCATGTATGTATGATGGTAGATAAAAAGGAGAAGGAGGGGGGGATGCACACAGTGAACATACAGTAAGTCACTCCTGATTCAAAATGACATTACACAGGCACCTTTCCTCACACTGTTACAGGCCTACTGGTTCTATAACAGCCTGTGCAATGTGTGTGTTGCAAGAGCACTGGCCTACATACAGTGCATACGGCTGGGAAAGGCTCAACCGCACCCCAGAGCTGGGAACAGCAGCTGTTGAGATGGATGCTCACAGAGAAAACCAACAGAGAGGGGTTTTCACTTTTACTACACTCAACGCCAGGGAGGCTTCTGCCATTTCCTGCTGCATCTATAAAGGAAATAAAAGTAAATCAGCCACTTGATGTTAGGGAGACAAGTTCTCATGAGAAATAAGATCTTGTTTTTTCATCTGAGTGGAGCATGATGCTGCTGATGATGATGGTGTGGTGACACACCCCTTCATCCTCCCACCAACCTCTTCTTCCTCTCTCCTGAGCAAAGTTACACCTGACCCAGCACCACAGTCAGTGTGAGCATCACACAGGAGCAGAGAGGATGTGGACCCTGCATGGTACAGCTGCACACATCTTTACATGGGCCTGGAGTGAGAGAGTGGAGGGACCTGCATGATGTAGGCACACACACACACACACACACACACACACACACACACACACACACACACACACACACACACACACACACACACACACACACACACACACACACACACACACACACACACACACACACACACACACACACACTGCTTCCCCATGCTGAAAAACAATCAGAATGGAGCCCGAGGTTTACCACATACATAAATAGCCCATCAGGCCCAGTCTCTCTCTCACACTACCCCTCTCTCTCTCTCTCTCTCTCTCTCTCTCTCTCTCTCTCTCTCTCTCTCTCTCTCTCTCTCTCTCTCTCTCTCTCTCTCTCTCTCTCTCTATCTCTCTCTCTCTCTCTCTCTCTCTCTCTCTCTCTCTTACTTTAACATGGCATCCTCCTTCGCCTCCTCCTCCCGTTGCCGAGCCAGCACAGCCATGATGATCTTCCTCTCGTCCTCCGTCAGATGGCTCAGGTCCGGTTCCGGGATGGCCGGGGCGACGGGTGGGCGAGGGGCGCCCCGAGGCCCCACCGAGGCGAACATCTTCCCCACCACCACCACTTTCCTCCCCTCCCTCCTCCTCCTCTTCCTCCCTTTCGCCTCCTCGCCTCGGTCGGGATCACGGAGAGAAAACCCGCTTGCGGAGCCCACGGATCACGACATGGCCCACGGACAAAGCGGCGGTTGGAGCGACTGATGCGGAGTTCCCATGGCGGCGGCGGGGGGCACCCAGGGCGGCGGCGGGAGCAGCAATGTGTCGGTGCTAGCTGCGGTAGTAGTAGTAGCAGCGGTGACGGTGATTGTAGCGCTTCGGTTCCCGGTTTTCAGCCTCTCCTTCTCCCTCTCGCTGCTCCGCTGTCTTCGCCCCCCACCCCCCTCCCACCGCCCGCCCGCCCGCCTCTCCCCTCCACCACCTCGGTTTCACGGGGAGTACATATCTCCAGCAGTCGGTCGGGATGATGGCACACGGGAGTGGGATGTCGCTTCCTTCCTTCAGGCCGGGCAGAGAGGGGGGGCCCGGCTGAGTCTGCTGCTGGCTGCGGGGCGAGGCGGACTCTTCTGGATGTGCAGCCGCCGCTGATGCTGATGCTGCTGTCAGGGAGACGGAACCGTCAATGGGACCGCAGCCCCTCAAGCGCGTTCACTTCTCCTGCGGCGGGAGCGCGCAGCTCTCATTTGAGAATGGGGGGCTCCACTCACCGTTCAGATGCGCGCTCACGCCAACATAGCACTCTGAGAAAATAAATGGTTCATCAAGGGTGCATTGTGGGTGTTGTAGGACCATACCTCGAATGAAGCATCTTTTATGTATTCATTATGAAAATAAAACAAATGGATTATAATTAAAGGTTACTATAACATTATGCCTACAGTATTGTTTGCTCTCTTAAAGTGGTATAACACTTTAAAATCTACTGACTTAACATCTTGAAAATGAAATGACTTAACAGACATTTATTTAAATGACATTACTGTAATTCAAAATCCTACCTCTTGATATATGGGGATGGATCTGCCATGTTTAGGGGCTAAACCCCCTAAAACGTAATAAAATCATATGTATCACTTCGTCTAAATCCTTACTTTTTCAATTAAGTTGGAACTACATAAGTTCACACGAAAATGTAATAACAGAATAACAGATAATAATGTGGGTTTATGCCTTAATTGGCATTCAAGCATGTAAAAAAAGAAAATGAGGTTCAGTTTATAAGATGACTCCTTTAAATCTCCTTAAATCTATGGCATACATTTTCTAACCACCCCCTTCAACTTGCTTTATACATTTTTACATTCATATTTAGGAGCGACAATTAAATTATAGGGAAATGAATGGAATTGTAACCTTTAAAAAAGAATGCAATCAATTGTATAGTGTTTAGTTTAACCATTATTTCAGTAAGTCAATGAGCAATCAACAAAATGTCTAAAGAGCCATTTTCCAGTAGTGTATCTGAAACCATTCACAGTAAGAGTGTTTGCACCCTCCTCTTCCTCCTCCTCCTCCCCCCTCCAACCACTCATTGCGTGTGAGAATGACGCGCATCCCCTTTTCTTTTTTTTCCCTCACCCTCCCTCCCTCTCTCTCTCTCTCTCTCCCACCTCTTCCTTCTGTCCTTCCTTTTTATCCATCCTTCCAGCATTTCCAGCTCACACACACATTCTCACACACACACACAAACACACACACACACACACACACACACACACACACACACACACTGCTTCCCCATGCTGAAAAACAATCAGAATGGAGCCCGAGGTTTACCACATACATGTATGGCTGTAGGGTGACATTTACAGTATGTCAGTGAATGCCATTTGAATTATAGGCTGTGTGAAGAGGTTTACCTAAACATTAGTATTAAGATACATGACAAAGCATACACCACATAAGCTGTAGAGACATGATAATTAATTGTGTCACATTAATCTAAATTTAGTAACACATTTGCTTTATTGGAGTATTTTTAGAAACAGAATTGGGGAAAAACTGATATCTGAAATGTCTAAGAATTACTGAAGAAAGAAATTTGATTATGCATTATTTTTCTGAAATCTGAAGGGTCATACACACTGTGTGGATAGTACAACCAGCTGGATTTGTATTTCAGCACCATGGTCAGCTCCCTGAGCATCATGTACTGAGAGGGGCAGCAGCTGCAAGTCTGGCAGTAGGTGCATGCAGCATGACAGTAAAGACTTTAAAAAGACAACCAGACATGTAATCGTCATCATATAACACCATGCAAACCAACAACATTCCCTGTCAATTACAATTGCAAGGCTTGAATGGGCTGCTCAACAGCTTTCACCCAAACGAGGGTTCCTATTTAGTGCAGTAAAATAAATGATAAAGAAAAAAAGCAATGATGGTTGGAAATGATCTTTTTTGTGCATGCCATGACGAGTTTTATGTTCAGATATGTTCAGATAACAAGGCCTTTAGTAAAGGGCTGTTTGATAGAAGTTGCCTTGTGGTTACACTTGACTACAGAGTACTGTATTTGGCATGACACTTACGCGTAGCTTGTAGTGGAAAACTTTATACAAGTGTATACTTATAACTTTATATGTAATGGCAAACTCTATATGTAGTGTAAACTTTATATGATGTGCAAACTAACTTTATGTGTTACCTAATATGGTAAAATGCTATGCAGTTGTTCCATGAGGATGTATTTTAATCCAAGCCCTCTGTTCAACATATAACTAGCCTTAAGGATGTCTGGGGGTGAGACACAGTGTCGTGAGCAAAAGTGAAGAAGTGTCTCAAACAAGTTCCTGTGTTTGTTCCTTGTCTTACAATGAGTTCCTAAATTCTTGGTTATATCTGTTTTGACCTCACAATGACTTCCTGCTGTCCTCACTTGCACCTGGCTTTAACCCACAATGTGTTAAACTTTCAACACTTCCATCTGTCTTAAACCAGTTCCTGTTTTAGCTAAGTTCCTGATTTACTACATTGCCAATGTATGGTTTCTGTTCCTCTGGAATGCGGGCGTAGCTTATCTATCCATCCAGCCCTCCCATAGTGACAGGTCACGAAGTGTTGTTGAACTGTGAACTGTCAAGATCCTATAAAACCTATACGCACTCCTTTCTCTGTGCGCACTCTTCCAGAATACTCTGTACTCCGTGAGACCTGTGCCTTATTTGAAGCTTCAAATAAAGATCCAGAAAGACAACTCTGTTTCCACCATTTTATTGATTGATCATTCTGATTGTATATCTCCTGAGTATTGACTAGGTCTAAGATTTCCAAAACAAGCTGCAGATACATGTTACCAGACTTTCTACAACTATCAATTGACATATTGCTTGTTTGTCATGTTTTTTAAGTTTATTATTTGGATTGGATTTGCATGTGTTGAAGCAAGCATCCCAACATTAAAACATGTTAGTTGTATTTTATTTTGAAAGTGTGATTCCCATATCCCGGAAATGATATAGAGTGGCGAAGTCCCTCCCCTTCCGGTGGACCTCCATGGGACCTTATTTCGGAAAAATTATGTATTGAAGTCAATGGAGAGAGAAAGATTATCTTTCGATCCCGTTTGAATTGTGCCACGAATTACACATATGATGTTTGTCAATTTAAAAGATAATTTTGCAAGTCAAAAAAAAAAAATATGTCGTAAAACTGTGAAGTAACACATTTGTTTGTGTGAAACGCTCAATGAACTACATCTCTGGTCAACAACACACGTCACCAAGATGGCCGTCACTACTGTCTTGTCAACAAAACGATTGACTATCCTCACTATCACCACAATGAAACACGTCCTGAAGAATGTCATGCAAAGCTGCCTGCCTGCCTTCCTTTGATTCTCTCTGAACTGCCTGGTCGTTTTAATGTTTAATGTCAACCATTTGTGCAGATAGCATGAAGTAGAGAAGATCGCTAACGTTAGCGTTAGCATTTCTCCCCCGGGCTTAAATGGTGTATTATAGAATGATCACACCGGTGACAGTACTCTTCAAAGGGTTCACGAAATATGACTACTACTCTTACTGTTTAACATTTTGGGTTACTTAATGTTACTTCATGTTAAGGCTAATAAAAATGACAAGGCTGTAATGCTAACTAACGTGCTAGCTACTAGCTAGGTAGCTAACTTGATCAAGCCACTCCTGGTCCTTTCATCAGACGGGAAGCAAAAGAACGAGCAAGACCCATTGCTGGTATAATAACAACCTGGTACTAAGCACACAGGCATCTTGTTAAAGTTATCTTATCTTAGCCAGCGCCATATAGATAGATTATATCTATATTGCGCTGATCTTAGGTATCTGAATGGTGGAGGAAAACAATTGTGACATCACTTACGCGACTCTGGGATTTGTAGTCTTTCTAGTTACGTATTTTTCATAGTCTTATATTTCAACAGTTTTACGACAAACTGTGACTTTTTTTACATGGAAATTATTTTTTAAGATTGACAAATATCATATGTGTAATTCATGGCACAATTCAAACGGGATCGAAAGATAAGTTTTCTCTCCCCATTGACTTCAATGCATAATTTTTCCGAAATAAGGTCCCATTACCGGGAAGTAAGTGGGCGTGACTTCGCCACTCTATTGAATTCCTGAGCTTTACCACTGTCACTCAAGCCCCCAGGAAGTGCGCCGGACTCAGATGAAAATATTCGTGCTGGCCAAACGGCGGTACTACACTTCCTTTTGGTTGCCAGGCCCGGAAACACTTTTTCCCATTGACTTACATGGGGAAAGAGTGGTCTGTAAATCGTTGGATAATTTTTTTTAAACTAAATAAACTACCCAGTATGAACACTTGTATAGCCCTTATTAAAAACATTCGTTCCTCAAGTTGTAAAAATGTGCTAATAACGTTATTCTGAGAGTTATTTCCCTCTGCATTATGAATGCGCATCTAACCCACGGGACCCGCGCCGCCCGGCACGTTCATGTTACGTGTTCAGCACTACATGCGTTTATCTTTACCCATGGATGCACAATAAGAACGGACCCATATCGCCTTACTGCCAGCCCACGGAGCTGTAATAATGGATATATTGCACATGTTTGCTGTAATTCTTCATTTGTAAAATATTATACTACATGAGCTGTATGATTAAATCTTGTACCGTAAATGTTGTATTAAATAAAGTTAATATTACCGACATAGATTAACGTCCCTGTAGCTTCTTATTGCACTAAGAAGCTTATTGCACTGTATATATATATATATATATATACATATATATATATATATACAGTGCAATAATTCTTTCATGCTAAATGAAGCTCTGTTGCTTGGATATCACTAGATCCTGTTACAGCGTAATATAAAAGTACATAACGATTGATGTGTAAATTAGCATAATTACTAGCTAACCGCTAGCTGCTAACTGCCGCCTCATTAATATCAAATATATCATAATAACAAACCATTACCATGCTGTCATGAACGTGCGGTGCTGTTACGTGTACGCAAATTGACGTGCTTGATGTGAACGAGCATTTTGGGGGGCATGGTTAAAGTTGTGCATGCGCTATGAGCGCACATACGGGTACTTCTCAGGCATGCCGGGTAATCTGTGACGTTTCGCTCTCTCAAAAGTTGGGCCATTTTATCATCATGCGCGAATGAGCAACTCTCATAGGAATGAATGAGGCCCCGCCTCCCACGCTGTATCCAGTTCTTATTATACATCCATGCTGTCACTACCCGATCTGTCCCATAGATATATATAAACACTAGATGGCTCATGGGAGATTTTCCAGCGTAGCTCACCGGCCGCCATCTTGCTACAGTCAACAGCTACTCTGGTACGCGCTATGGTAGCTGTTGTAAGGTGAGTGATCTGCACAAAAATACTCTTAACTCGCTGAAATCTTGACTGATTTACAAACGGTTTGGTTTATTATAAACATTATTAGCATGGCTATGATACAGGATGCTTGGACATGTTGAAATTGCAGCTTTTCTTTGTGTATGTGGTTGTATTTATTAGCTGGCTAATAACAAGAGGCTGTGAGTGAGACCTAGTATTACAAAGTTGACCCAGCAACTTTACACCAGTGGGAGAGGCAGAACTGCTCTTTCTTTTCAACATAACTTAAGTTACACATGATTTCTTCCAAGTGGTTTGGCTGGTTAAAAACATCTTACATTTAGATACATTATGATACAGGAAATTGCTGGCTTTGTGTTTACAGAAGTACCTGACTATGCCGGACTTTTGTGCAGCCTACGGATGCTCTAATCGCCGCAGTCTGGAAACAAGAACCCGTGGAATCACCTTTCACGTGTAAGATATTACAATATTATGACTATAATTAGGATAATCGTTAATTACTTAGTGGATGTATGTACATTACAAGTCCTGCTACACAGGATCAGTGGGGCTATGTGAGATAATAGTATTGCAAGATTGTTGTTGACCCAGCCTCTTTAGAATATGCTGCTACCATTTCTTTACACAATTATTTAATGTTTCTTTTGGACACCTTTTTTATAACTCTTAGTGTGGTTGTCTTATTCTTAAAGTATACATACATTACATACATACATACATACATACATACATACATACATACATACATACATACATACAATTACCCCAAAAATATGATAATTTCGGTGTTTATTTTTGTCCTTACCCTTAATGTTAAAGGAAAGAAGGGAGGAAAATGTTGCCAATAATTTATATATCTGGCTACCTTTCTCATGTTTTTAAGGTTTCCCAAAACCGGAGAGAGGAGGAGGCAGTGGGAAGCTGCCCTAAGAAGGGACGGTTTTGTTTCCTCTGGCAGGACACTGCTCTGCAGTGAGCACTTCAGGAGTGAGGACTTTGACAGGACGGGGCAGACTGTCCAGCTTAAAGATGGTGTTGTGCCAACAGTATTCAACTTCCCAGCTCATCTTCAAAGGGTATGTGTATCATTGGCCAACAATAATTCAAGGTGTATAAGATTGATATATAAATATGTGATTAAATGTCACACTTTAGTTTTTCTTTCTGCAAGTTTAGGAATAAATAATGTGTTGTGTATTACAGCACATTTTAAACACTCAAAATGTCTTTAATTATGTTTATTTTAGCCGGAAGCAACAAGAAGCACAACCACTTCAAGAAGAGCAGAAGATGAACCTCAGCCTAATGTTGTGAGTATTCTGAATGTGGCCAAGACCAGAGAGATGGTCATTGATTTCAGGAGGGTGAGGACGTCTCCTCTACCCCTGTGCATTCTGGGAGAGGATGTGGCTGTTGTGGAGGACTACAAATACCTGGGAGTGCACTTAGACAATGGGCTGAACTGGAGGATCAACACTGACGGTGTGCACAAGAAGGGGATGAGCAGACTCTTTTTTCTCTATTTTCTAAGGAAGCTGAGATCCTTCCACGTGTGCAGCAAGATGCTGGAGATCTTCTACCGGTCTGTTGTGGCTAGTGCACTCTTCTTTGCTGCGGTCTGCTGGGGGGGCAGCATCAGAGCCGTCGTATAATGTATATGTATTGTATTATATATTGTATGTATATAATGTATTTATTAAATCTTCATGTTCCATGATGGGCCTCACCACCTTCAGTCACAGGTACTGGCTCCTCGATTGTCCTTACACTCTCTGTCTCTCACCCTAAAACCAGACCCTTTCTTTTTAGACTAAAATGACGGGTATCTCTAGGGTCCGTTTGGTGTTGTTGTCTCATAACCCGTTTAAACCATGCCATTCAGCCAAATATATTACAACCTTCTCCAATAAATAAGTGTGTTATAACTTAAGCAGTTGGGCCTACCACGCTCGGCCAAAGAAAGACTTGGCAGCATCTCAGCTTCAAATAGGCCTGTAGTTAAAAACTTTGGTCAGCTGTTACACCCACTTGTCGTCTATGATTTATTGTGTTTTGCACTTTAACCACATTAGGAAAATCGCCCAAAGAAGGACCTAATTATAATTTCTGTCATAGCAAAGGTCATGCCTGCTAAACATATGTCATTAATGTTACTTTAATGAACCTTTTCTGTTGCTTCAGCATATGAAACTTTGTATCTCTCTACCTCCTTTGCCTTTTTCTGCACTTCGCAGCCCTGATACGCAGCACTATGTTCCCCACATATGTTTATGTTTGCTCAGTCTGTCTAATAAACCCATAAAATGGTTGTGAAAGAATACCAAAGCTGAGGCTGGACGATGATTGACTGTTGGTGTGCCACCGTGTGTCTTATTGGTTTTGTGTTATACTGTATTTTATTGTGTGCAGCTATCTCCAAGACACATTTAAAACAAAATAACCTTGAACCTTGAAGCCCCATCTCTCCCCACCTGCCCCTGCTTCCTACAGTACATCCCCTCCACACCACACCAAGTTGTTCTTCTTAATAATAATACATTTATTTTGGGGGGCCGCCTTTCATAACACCCAAGGACATCTTACAGGGCATAGGGGCAATATAGGGAACAATTAAAACAGTGGATTTAGTGAGATATCAGCCGGGGTAAGACAAGACAAACAACAGTAAATGGACTACAGAAGGACACAAATGGACACAGGGTACAGTTTATATTATTCTTGGGCTTTTTTTCGACTACAAGAACTCAGCGCACCGTGCTGTGAAGTGGTAATGTATTTCAAAGGTTCTGGATATGTTTACAAATCTAGAAACTAAATACAAAACTAAGACGATATGAAGATCTCATGTCAAAAATAATTGTGATAAATGAGACAGAACTGGCCTGTCAGTGAGCTCATTTTATGTTGGTTTGGTTCTTCTGATAAAAGGTGTGAATATCTAAATAATACCACCATATGCTATTGTCATTAGTTGTGTCCCTGTTCTTCAAGCTAAGGCATTGCTAAATTAACAACTCTTGGCTTACAGAGTGGTAACATGAGACCGATTTTTATATATAAAATATAAATATATTTTAATTTTATAATTTATTTTAAATATTAACAATATAATAAAATAAATGGAAATATATACACCGGCAAATATTTAATATAAATACCTTGTGTGTGTGTGTATAGCTATTGCTTTATCTGCTTAATGTTATTTTCATATGAAAGTCCATGATTATAAGTATGCAGTATCATAACTACATCTTTGATGTTTATAAAAAAACAAACCGTTTGAAAATTGGTTGAAAATTGAGCAAGCTATGGTTATTTAAATAGTAAACCATAATGTTATGAATGAGAGCACTGCCTGTAACAAGATGGCGGCCATGTGGCAACGTCGGTCTCCATTGGCCAGCAGCGCGGGTGAGTCATCTAGTGTTTATATATATCTATTGGCGCGTTTCCACGACACGGCCTGGCTCGGCCTGGCTCGGTATGGCTAGGCCTCGTTAGGACTGGCTCACTTTATGGCGCATTTCCATTACAGTTTAGGAACTGGGGTAGTATCTATAGTAACGCAGTGTAGGCGGAGCCGTGACGTCATCTTCAATGAGAACCGCAGAAAAACAACACAGCCGTTAGCTGTTAGCACTCAGAGCTCACAGCTCCTCATATATGTTCAGAAACTAGACAAAAGTTAAACAAGTACAAACCACAGACTGCCTGTGTCATGGCGAATACAGTCGCTGCTTTATTTATGTCTGTATAGGCCGTTGTTGTGAGTGTGGACGGTCGGAGCATATACTGCGTTAGCTTAGCCAATCTCCATTTAGAAAACACGCATTTTAAAAGGTTTTTCGCCTGCCGTCTGTCTGCAGACTTGTCAAAGCATTAATTCATGGTTTTTACTAACCGGTATCAGTATGTTGTTACTTCGGCATCATTTTGAAACGTGTATTACAATTAAATCACGGTCAAATATGTCCATCTTGTTGTAGTTGTAGTCCCCTTGCCAGCGATTCTCACTCTAGTTTAGCATACTCAGCCCGACTCAGCCTCGTTGTCTCTGGCCCTAGACCCACGATTTTATGAGGCCAGAAAAACTGTGAATTAGGACCCGCCGGCCGGTACTACGCCAAGTGGAAACGCAACCAAAAACGGGCCGCTGACACAGTGGAAACGCGCCATATGATCTGTCCCCCTGCCCGATCTGTACTGCGCATGTGCGAGATGGTCCGCCATATAGAGTGGCGAAGTCACGCCCATCTACTTCCGCCCCATGGGACCTTATTTAGGAAAAATAATGTATTGAAGTCAATGGAGAGAGAAAACTTATCTTTCGATCCCGATTGAATTGTGCCATGAATGTTTGTCAATCTTAAAAAATAATTTCCATGTCAAAAAAGTCACAGTTTGTCGTAAAACTGTTGAAATATAAGACTATGAAAAATACGTAACTAGAAAGACTACAAATCCCAGAGTCGCGTAAGTGATGTCACAATTGTTTTCCTCCACTAGCTAAGATCAGCGCCATATAGATATAATCTATCTATATGGCGCGGCTAAGATAAGATAACTTTAACAAGATGCCTGCGTGCTTAGTACCAGGTTGTTATCATACCAGCAATGGGTCTTGCTCATTCTTTCGCTTCCCGTCTGATGAAAGGACTAGGAGTGTCTGGATCAAGCTAGCTAGTAGCTAGCACGTTAGTTAGCATTACAGCCGTGTCATTTTTATTAGCCTTAACATGAAGTAACATGAAGTAACCCAACATGTTAAACAGTAAGAGTAGTAGTCATATTTCGTGAACCCTTTGAATAGTACTGTCACCGGTGTGATCATTCTATAATACACCATTTAAGCCTGGGGGAGAAATGCTAACGCTAACGCTAGCGATCTTCTCTACTTCATGCTATCTGCACAAATGGTTGACATTAAACATTAAAACGACCAGGCAGTTCAGAGAGAATCAAAGGAAGGCAGGCAGGCAGCTTTGCATGACATTCTTCAGGACGTGTTTCATTGTGGTGATAGTGAGGGTAGTCAATCGTTTTGTTGACAGTAGTGACGGCCATCTTGGTGACGTGTGTTGTTCTGTGAGACCAGAGATGTAGTTCATTGAGCGTTTCACACAAACAAATGTGTTACTTCACAGTTTTACGACACATTTTTTTTTTTTTGACTTGCAAAATTATCTTTTAAATTGACAAACATCATATGTGTAATTCGTGGCACAATTCAAACGGGATCGAAAGATAATCTTTCTCTCTCCATTGACTTCAATACATAATTTTTCCGAAATAAGGTCCCATGGAGGTCCACCGGAAGGGGAGGGACTTCGCCACTCTATTGGGAGAAGGGTCCAGGGGTGTTTCTCAATCGCGAGTACACTTGCTTGGTAGCACATGTCTGCCGAGCATCTTGCTTCAGAAGCGAGTCAAGAATACTTCCTGGCATTCGGAAAACAAAGAATGGAACAGGCTAGCAAGTGTGCAGGTGTGCGTCATATGAGAGGCCCCGCCTTACATTTTCCGTCACAGATTTGGGGAAATTGGTCCGTGCGCAAAGCATTGTGGGGATTTTAAGACCGCGGAGTCTACTCATGTGCAGCCTCGATATTTCTCCAAACGGAGTACGCCGGGCTCGGTAGATTTCCAAGTATGCTGGAGATTGGAACAGTACTTCGGCGGCACTCGATGACGTAGTGTGCTTGAAATAGTGGCTCTGGAGCAGCTTTACTCGCGATTGAGAAACACCCCAGCTGCGGCCGCGGCAAGTACACGACACTACACGACACGCCCCCTACACGACAGGCCCACCTGACACGACACTACGGTGGCTGAGAGACATTACCATACATGGCAGATTAAAAACGAATTGCAAATGTTATTGTAGCATTTTAAGCAACTATTAGGCAAATAAATTAATAACCTAGTCTATCCGTTTGAGACACAACAGTATAACTTTCAACCCAAATCATTTTGTCAACAAACGGTGGTTTAGTAAACTTT